ATAAAATATAATTATAGAAAAAAAATAGCAGTGGGTTTTCAACACAAAGGTAGGGATTTCAAATCTACCAGCTTTTCCACACAATCTTCTCCCCTGCAATTTACAGCCTCTGAAAACCTGCTGGAGGGTCAGTTCTCAGTCAGGTCTGGCGTTACAGGACATAGTAACAACAGCAGCAAGGACAGGGACTTATCCCTTCAGTGACCTTGTTGTGAGGAAAGAATCACTGAATCTATGCTAGTAGTGTTGATGCGTGCATGGATTCCAGGTAACAAACGTGCATCTTATTCAGAGTGTTCTAGTGACATTAGTACATTAATTTATGGAATTATGGAATGTTTTATTTCCTCTAAACCTCCCCTTGACTTTTCTACCTCCCTTGACTTAGAGGCTGCCTGTCTCACTTGTAGCAAACCTGAGAGAAGTTGTCCTTTTGATAACTTTTGAAACTAGGGCCTCAGTAAACTCATAAAATGATACCTAGGAAGGCCTGTCCTGTGGCCTGTTATTAGCACCTATTATGAAAAATCCTTGCCTCTGGAGGATGGAGGGCCACAACCTTCCTCACCCCATGCTAGGACTGCACACTCTTCTTGCTCAGAAGGCTCTTCCTCAAGCCATAGTTCCTGAAGTCATTTCCTCACTTTCCCACAGAAGCCTCTGGAGTCCCGGGTCCTTACCCTTGCTGACCTCCAGGTTCACATCATAGGACAAGCCACGGTTATTTACACCCAGACCACACTTGTATTTCCCAGTGTCATCTGTGGTGAGTTGGGCAATGTCCACCACAAACAAGTTGTCTTCTGGGAAGTCGGTGAGTTTGGCTCTACCCGCATAGTTCTCAGAGACAAAGGGCCCTGAGGAGATGAGGGTTGTACAGGGGCCCTTGTCTCCCTGTCGGCACCAGTACTTCCGGGAATGGCGGTTGACAGAAGTGGCTGGGTAGTAGCACTTGATGGACACTGAGCTGCCCTCCACGCTCCTTACGTCCTGGGGACCGAATATGGGACTCTTCATGGAAACCACTGTGGAGAGAGAAGATAAGCTTTCTGAGGCCCTTGACAGTCCACCTCACAAAGATAACGCCTCCTACCCACCACAGGTGCCTTCTGTGAGATGTTTACTGCTCTGGTGGCCTAGGGAATAAGGAATTGTGCTGCCCACCCAAAGGCAAACGGTTTGAAACTGGTAGCTGCTCCACAGTCTCCTCTCACGCAACTGACAGCCTTTGAAAACCCACTGGAGGGTCAGCTATGAGTTGGTTCTTACTCAACAATACATAACAAGATCACAATTAGACCCTTGCTGGAATTCCATAAAATGATGGAGTGATCAATGTTATGCTGTTCATTAGTTAATGATACTAATTTTAGTAGAATAGCAGATTTATTAATGCTGTTCCTCCTTTGGAAAAATTAACTGCCTCTGTGAGGTGTGACACATTTGTCTTTGCTATTCTTTTTCTTTCTAAAAACACTTCCAAGGTTATTTCCCTTTTGTCTGATAAAAAGATTGGAAAACAGGAAGGATAAGCGATTTCTTTCACATCTCATGACAAGTCCTAGAGACCTCTGGTCCAGAGATCCAGGTCCTTTGTCATTCCCAGGGAAGACCCTTCACGAGACTCTGGGCCTTGAAAGTTGGAATTGCCCTATTCCCATGCCTCACCCCCCCCTCTTTCAGACACAGCCTTTCTGCGATGAGTCTGTGCAGTTTCTTTCCAAGGGCAGGCATGGGAATGGGCCTCCTTTCCTCGTCCCTGGGGAATTGGGCTCTGGAGGGAAGAATGCTGAATGGAGTCATGAGGAGTTAGTGAGGACCAACAGAGGACAGACATACCTGGTAAGAAAGCCAGCAGGCAGGTGAGGAGCAGGAACGCCATGGCTGGCAGCTTCTGCGAGGCTGCACTGCCCACGCGACTTCCTGTATGAGATCCTAGAAAACAATGAGCACAGGAGATGAAACGTCTCTGTCTTCCAAGATTAGTTAACCTTAGAGCTTCTTATTCAACTTCATGTCTCCAGCAATTGACATACATCTTGTGGAATGAGGGAACGGTTCTAACTTTTCCCATCTCCCAATGTATATTGTTCCTCAATAAGTAAGTTTTATCTTCTCAACTAAGCCAGAAGTCTATGCCCATATCCACAAGGCTCAGTCCCAGGAGCACTGAGATCTCAGGAGAGCTCACTGAGTGATTGCTTCTGTCAACATGTGGTTCCCCTCTTTTTGATTCAACTTCAACATATCCCTGCAGGAGGGGGGATGGGCAAGGACTCACAGAGGAGGACTTACAATCATTAAGCTTGTAAATGGAATAATAATGGTAATAACACTATCAATTGTTCTTCCACCAGGCCCCAGATCATTTGCATACATTATCTCAACACTTCTATCAGCTCTATGAAGTTGGTATTCTTATCCACGTTTAACAGCTGAAGCAATGAAAAATGAAAGGCTAAGGACTTTATTCAAGGTTCAGGAATTAGGTGTGCCAGTGGAGGAGGGGGACAGGATCAAAGGCAAATTTGTCTTGACTCCAAAGTTCAAGCCCTTAACCCTTCGTCCTGTTCTGTATTGCATCTCCAGTAAAGCAACATGCCTAGTGCATATGTGTGTGGTTTGTAGAGCCTCCTTCGCTTTTTATTAAAGCACTATGATTTGCACTATTTCCCTTGAGCTTTCTGATTTCCCTGTGAACAAGACAAGGATAGATTTAACTAGAGCTGTTTTGTAGATAACCACTCTACCACCACTGAATCACCACTGTAATGGAATCTTCACCTTCCAAGCTGGAGCCCCAGGCTTGATTCCCTCTTACTCATGAGCTCTTCGTCATGAAAAGCTCCCATTGGGAGGTGGGGGTCTTCTAGACTAAGACTAGGAAGAAAGGCCTGGTGATTTACTCCCCCAAATCATCCAGAGTGAACCCTACTCTGCCCCACTGTGCATGGGGCTGCTTTGAGTCTGGGCACAGCAACTAATACATACAAAGGAATAGAAAAATCAAGATGGCACAATGCTGAGTGTCATGTTTAAAGTTTTCCAGAGACTAAATTCAGAGGTGAGGGTTAAAAATGTGGGCAGCATGGCTTTTGCTGTCCTGTCTGGTGAGGACAGAGCAAATAACAGTGGGGAACGCAAGACAAGTCGCACGCCGAGTCCTTCCCGCGTGTGTCTCCACTGGGGACACAGTCCCTGTTCCCATCCTGGCTGCAACCCTGGTCGAACCCTAAATGAAGCACAGCAGAAAAGAGAGGAGTCTGCACTTTCCCACAGACTTTCATAGGCTGTAAACTGTGGGATGGATTCCACAAAGTGTTAGAGAGAGAAAGCCAAGATAATAGGTGCTGGGCAATAATGGACATCCATAAAGATAAGGAAGTTGCAGGGAAGCCAGGCCCGGGGCCTGCAGCACTGGGCATTATCTCCCAGGCCTTCCCCCACTGCCTTGGCCTCTGCTCCCTCCTCCCAGAGACACCCTTGACTAGCTTAAGCCAAAAGCAATACTGGTGTTTATCTTGGTTCTTTCTTTTCTGTAGGGGGATTTCCCAGCAAGAGAAGCTTTTATTTCCTTGTGGAGATAAAAACATTCCCTTTCTTATGTCCTTTGGAAGTCTAAGGGAGGAGCAGGTTGGAGGAAGTGTCAGGTGAGCCTCTCTTGCCCGTTGATGACCTCAGACCTTCACACCAGGCAATGATTTACTCCTGGAGTGAGCCCTTAGCCAAACACCAGGGTCAGCCCCTTCCTGGATGTGCTCAGAGACACTACTGGGGGGAGTGCTGAGGAGGTCCTGCAGGGCACCATGATGGTGGTTCCCAGAGGGCAGCATCTGTCAAAGACCAGATTGGAGATGGCTACGCAGTCATCTCCTCACTGACAGTGGGCAGAGTCAGGCAGTGACTTCCCTCACGCTGCCAGATGTCATCCTGGCTCTGGGCACCTACAGCCTCATTGCATGAAGAGCAGAAATGAAAGGGGACCCATGAGTCTCCCCAGGAACTTAATTAGAGTGGACTGGCTGCTAAGGGCTGGGGAACTCACCACTTGCCACTTGCACTGACTCTGGTGTGGCGCTGGGCGGGAAGACAAAGTGCCCATGCTTTTGAGACCACAGTCGGCAGTGTCTCCCCTTGGTTCTCAGCCCTATCCTCCCATCCTGTCTCTAAGATTTCTGGAAGATGGGAGAAGGGCTTCCCAGAGTGGTATAGATTGGCAAGATGACTTGCCCAGGGTTATAGATAGACAAACGGCAAGTTTTCCAAGGTAAGAGTCCCGATTTCCAACACAGTCTTCCCCTCCACGTATGAACACTTGGGGAATTATGCATGGCCACACAGATGGGGGATATGTGTGTGTGGCCATGACTCCAGGCCAGGGGTGAGAGCCTCAAGCATGTACAACTGGAAAGGCAAGACTGGCAGCACAGGACCTCGGCAAGGAAGAGCAGAGTCCTTTCCCAGTGGAGATAGCTCGGGCGCTGGGCACCCATGGTCTTCAGAACAGGATGGCATTGCCCAAAGCTAAAATGTGAAGCTGTTAGAGTTGGGATCTACCAGGCTGGTTGTTGTTGTTTGGTGCCGTCGAGTCGTAGATGACTCATAGCGACCCTATGAACGAACAGCCTGAGCACTGGTCGTATATAGAGTTTCCGGAGGCAAGCCATTTCGGAAGAGGATGCCGCTCCTGCTTCCAGGCTTATTTCAGTCGGGAAGCTCCAGCAAACACTGTCCACCATGGGTGCCCATTACCACGATTGGCACATCACTGTCACAGTCTTCGGCATCACAGCAACCACGAGTTACCTCTATACAGCAACGCGCTATACCACCTAGAAGAATGTTTGACAGGAAAACAATTTGAACCTGGCTGAGGGCCACAGATGAAAATCACCCACCTTCGGCTTGGTAGCATAACTTCCTTTGCATCCCTAGCAACTGAAAAGCCGTATGTTTTAGAATCATTCATTAAATATCCCCCAAAATCTCAAAATCAGCCCAGGAGATTTAGATCTTAGAGACCCCAGTTCCAGGTTAGCTGGAGTTGGATTGCAAGGATTTTCGTAAAGGAAACAAGGAGGGAGCACAACATCCATTAACTACCTCACTATTTTTGTGTACCCTTGAGTCAGAGCTGATTCATAGCGGACCCTCCAGAGGGTTTACAGAGGCAGTAAATCTCATGGGAGGAGATTGGCCATCTTTCTCACATGGAGCAGCTGGTGGGTTCAAACTGTGTACCTTTGTGTTGGGAGCATGATTCCTTACCACTAAGTCACCAGAGCTCCCTAACAAGTACCTGTTGTGTTGTAGTTAAGTGCCATCCAGTCGTAGACAACTCCTAGCAACCTTATGAACGAAAGACCTGGACACCTGTATAACTTTCGTCCTTTCTCTGGGTTCATAGGGTTTCTGGAGGCAAGCTATTACAAAAGTGAATGTCCCTCCTGCTCCCAAGCTTGTTTGAATGGGGAGGCTCCACCAAACACTGTCCACCATTCTCGCATTTGACACATCATGTGCCAAATGTGGGAGTTCTGGTGGCCTAGTGGCAAGAAGCTGAGTTGCAATCCCGAAGGCATGTGATTTGAGGCCACCTGCTGCTCCGTGGGAGAAGGATGGGCAATCTCCCGTGCAATTAACTGCCTCTGAAAACCCACTGGAGAGTCAGCTTTGGGTTGGTTCCAACGCTATGATACACAACAACAACAACAACATGGGCCAAATGCATTGTTTGGCTCTTTTCTTTCATAATTTCATCCATTGTCACAGCACCCTAACAGCTCTGGTGGCCTAGTGATAAAGAGCTGCTCTGTCAGCCTGAAGGCACATGGTTTGAATCTACCAGCTGCTCTGTGGGAGAAAGATGAGTAATCAACTCCTGTGCAATTTACTGCCTCTGAAAACCCACTGGAGGATCAGCTATGGGTTGATTCCAACTCAATGGTACACAACAACAGCAACAACAACAGGATCTCTAAAGGGAGCTCTGATAACTGAGTGCAGAAGGATCCATGCTGCCAACCCACAGGGACACGATTCAGATGCCCCAGCTGCTCCACAGGAGAAAGGTGGGAGGTCTCCTCCTGTGTGATTTACTGCCTCTGAAAACTCACTGGACAGTCAGCTATGAGGAGGCTCTGACTTAATGGTACACGAGAACTACCGGCACGTCAGGACAGCTAAGGACTAAAGAGATTCTAACTCTAAGACCATCCACCCTATTCTCAAGGCCCTCGTAGATTCCTCTCACCTTCCATGCAAGAGACCCGGTTCTGCTCCCAACTAATGCACCTCGTATGCAGCTACCACCTTGCTAACAGAAGAGGCTTCTGTGTTCTTACAATGGCAAACAGGTTTCAGCAGCACTTCCAGACTAAGACACTAGGAAGAAAGGCTGGTAATCTGCTCATAAAAATCAGCCAGTGAAAACTCTGTGCACCACTGGTGTGATCCACAATCAATCAAGGGGATGACACAGGGCCAGGAAGCGTTTCAGTCTGCGTGGTGTCACCATTAAGTCAGATCAGACTTAACAGCAGCCAACAGCAACAACGCCATCCTTATATCTTGAGTCCTCAGAGGACCTCTTTTACTGGGATGTGTATGCTAGTACATACACCATGCACAAACACCACCTCTAGATATTTACAGTGTAGAACCCTGAGAGAGGGGTGCTAGGGGTCAGAAATGACTCCATGGTGGTGCTTTTGGTTTTGATGCTAGTCTATCATGCACACAAAACTACCACTTCTTGTCCTCAAACTAGGAGTTGTTCTCTACTCTCCATTGGTGAGTCTAGAATGTTCTAAGTCATTCTTATTTTTAAAAAAATGACTTAAAAATTATATTCCCTTCCTACCTCTGTCTCCTCTGTAATCA